GACGGTGCAATGTGTGCCCGGGGGTGCTGGGCTTCTGAGTTGCTTTATAGCAGACATTATCTTTTATTGCCAGATAAAAATTCCAGGCTCGGCTGGTTTTATTGCTGCTATATGCGCCGCTCATCCTATCCTCACAAGATCCCATCCCCTGACAGCACACGTCTGCTGCTCCTGGAAGGGGAGGGGGGGATCCTCAGCACCCCCTTCCCAATATCTTCATTTTATATTACAGTCCTCTTTCCAGCCTTGGTAAACAGAAAACGTGACAATGCCATCTTCCCCTTAATAACCCTTCAAGAGCACTGAACAGACAGTTACATACAATTCCCCCATGCCCACAGTAAAGGCTATGACCCAGATCATGCCATTCTCTATCAGGACGCACAGTAAAAAGCATATGCATGAAGACATGTCTCTGCCAAATTCATTCATAACCTTTCTGAGTTTATTTAATAACGCAGGTGGCAAACACACACGTCACTAAGTCCCAGTATAACTGTGTAGAATAGCATTCTTATACATAGCATCCCACCACTCCAGCATTAATTGAACTCATTCCTCTTTAAAATTAATAAACAAGCATACACATTGCTTTCCGTATTCTTTCTCTTCATCTATCTCTATGGCTTTATATTTAATGCTTCACTGCACTAAGAATTTCCCTAATCATGTTTTACCCTTTTTGACATCTTTGTGATAACCACTCACATTGCATTCCAAATTCTTTTTTCGTTCTCTGTATCTCTCTATCTGCATCTATATCGTTATATGGTGCATAAACAGAGCAAATTCAGAGAATTTTCCTAATCGTGCTTTAACCCAACTAACTTTGAGAATAGCTTGCACCATACCTCTTTAATATCTCTGGACCTAACCCTTTAAAGACCTATGGAGTTCCAAACCATATAAGAATCTGATGTCTTTTAAAAAAACCTCTCCCACTCATTTAGTAAACGGACCATAAAGAGCTGATGATGCTAAATAAGTAGGGCAATCTATGCGGACATCTTTCAGAACTGAATTGTCAAGACCGGAATTTTTTTTTTTTTTTATTGGTCTTTGAAGGCAAATAATGAAAATGCGTGGAGCGTGCAAATAAAGCAAATTTGGATTTGTTTACCAGATAAGCTTTCTGATAACTGAACACCTTTTCACACTTTTTTCCTAATCCCACTAAAAACCACAGGCATTTTATTTTTCAATTATTATTATTATTTATATAGCGACCACAAATTCCGTACTGCTGTACAATCACTAGACATCACTCCCAATCTTTTATTTTTTAGTATTGTATATCAATATCAACTCTGTATTAAAAAAAAATGCAGTACAAAATGGAACACTTTTCGTAAACCAAAAGCGGAAAATGTGAAATCAAGCATTTTAAAGGGTCATAAGCCACAATTGGAGGCTTTTTATTGTAATCAGAAAAAGTACTCTAATGTAAAGAGGTAAGCCCTGAACTCCCTATTTATTGTTGGGCTTTTCTTTTTGTTTTGTTTTTTAAATTCTTTATTTTTTGCGTGCATGAATAATAACGCAGGTATTAAACGACACTACAGCATCAATCAATCATGATTACAGGAGTCGTCGTGCGAGACATTAGTATCGCGATGGACTTGCACTTTTTATATCTATACATGAACAGTAGCTTCATAGCTTCAAAATGCTGCAACTAACGTAGGGAACAGTTTTAGTAAAATAAAGTGAGTGAAGTACTAAAGATACGGTCATAAGTCAAAGGGATATAATAAAATAAGGCTAGTGTATGTTATGGGGTATGCCTGCTTTTGCATTTATCTCCTTAACAGGCATGTGCTGTAAGCAGCGACTGTATCAGGGGTACGGAGTGGCGGTGGGGCTCTGCATGTTTTCTAATACAAGTGACCGAGTACAGATCACCAGTGGATGGTGTGGTGAGGCCTGTAAGCCATCAAGCAGATAAACTGGGGGGTTTTACGCTCCATGGGGGGAAGGGAGTAAAGTCGGCAAGACACCTTATTCGGTTGTTGCGTTTGACAACCAGTTAACGAAATATAATGCACATCACTTGAACTTGAGAGAGGGAAGAAAGTGAAGTGAAAGTAATAATAATGAGAACAGGAAACAAAAGTATATAAATCCATATGCTGAAGACGGCGGGACGATCGGGGACCACCCTTGTATTGATGTGAGGACGAGGGAACCAGCGGGCCACAAGACTGATGTCTCAGCCAAGACAGACTTGGTGGATACATAGCACGCCCGGCAGGGGAGCCAGTTCACCAATACACGAACCGGGAGTAAGGGGGACGAGCGGAGGGGATGGGGACGGTCACCACTCCTGACACAAACTGCACAGGCTCGTATGAGGAGACAAAGAAGAACACTGACAATACCTTACTCAACGGTACCTCGTTATTTTCTTATGTTCTAATTTATTTGGTTATATTGTTTTTACTGTATAAATTATCTGAATATGTGAAAAATGTGGCAAACTAAGCACGTTCGTCACCCTCACAAATTGTAATTGAGCATACCGATTATACTGGCTTCTGCGCAAGCCACAGGGTGTATAACGGTCTCTTGTTTATTATGATTCATGTCACGACATAAATAAAGAATAAAAAATAAATTAAAAAAAACATGCTGAAAAATAATTAAAAATAAAATAAGAGAAAAAAAGGTGGATATTCAGCAGTTATCTTTTATATCATGGTATGAGTAGTGTGTGTCTCTGAAGGAGTTTGTCTCCCCTTGAGGGTCATCTTTCAGCCTTTATCTAATGCTGCACGAGGAGTAAAGCTGGCAATTTGAGATACATCCCAGGAGTGGCTAGGCCCAGCCGCGACTTCAATGGATGGGATGAGGCCCAGCACTTGTAGAAAGGCAGCGCACTCCGTTGCAGAGATGAGTTGGTGAGAGAGGCCGTTCTTGTGGGCTATTAGTGTGCGTCTGTAGGAGTTGCATCTCCTTGAAGTTGCCTCTTAATGCTTCCAGCACTGCAGTTTTTTCCATGAATAGGGGAAAGCACAGTAGCACATCACGTGGAGCCTCAGCCGAGGCCGCGGTCAATTTTGGAAGAAGGAAGCAGTGAACGAATTGCATTCCTTTGGCTTGGCATTGGGGTAGGAGAGTGGCCAACAGGCATCTGATAAAGTGTAGGAGTTCTTGCTCCTCGATAGTTTTGGCAATACCTTGTATCTTCAATTTATTGCGCCATTGCGCGTCGTCCTGGGCATCAATCCTGACCTGCATGGGTTGCTGAGAGGTCAGCAACTGTTTCATACTTTTAGCGGTGTCTGCTTGCTTATGGGCAATGGAGGAGACCGCCGTGATTCCTCCCTTATGACCGACAGGTCTGCATTAAAGAGTGTCCTGATATGCATGAGGAGGGCATTAAAGTCACCCTTATTAACAGGGGCTGACAGGTCTTCCTCTGGTAGTGGAGTGTCAAGGCCTCCTGTGTTGGGGATGTCATCTGGGGTGTCCAACATTGTAGTGGAGAGCTGGTCTTTCACAGGTTATCTCCACTAAAGATCCCAGTGAGGCTCAGGAACAAGTAATAAAATCCCATAGAACAATATTCACAGCAAGCAAGGTAATCCACGAATATCCCCATACAGATCTCAATGACTGGACGACACACAGCATCAGGAGCAGAACTGAACTTTTAATCACTCAATCTTCTTTTAAAGCTTTCTCCCATGCAAGGGAGGGATTCACATTAATTATACAGTACACCAATCATACATGAGTTGCCACCCACACATCCCCTCCCCTTAGTATGACTCATAATCCCATTATGCAGGACACAGTTCCCCTGGTTTTCTGGATGTACCCCTAAACATAGGGGTACCCCTTTAAATGTTACATCCCCTGGTAGCCCTGATCTGAGTGAGTGACTGTGGAGGAACCAGCCTCGCCACTGGGCATTGGAGAAGACTGATTGCCAGCCTCCTGCCATGTGACTGTGGCCCCTGGGATGTATTGCCTGCTCTCCTGTACTGTTGAGGATTGCTACCAACTAGGTGGATTTGTCTATGGAGCTTGTGTAGTGCCCTCTGTTGGTAGCAACAGTAATATGCACTACCTGAATAGCAAGACTGGTAATTTGCATATTCGGGTAGATTTGCATATCGCTGATTCTGCATGCAGGAGAGACATTTTGTGTTAACTGTGGTCTTCCCCACCCATTTATAAATGTGTAGTTGTGTTATGGTGGGTCGCTGTGTGTTGCCTGCTATGATTTGTTTGTAATTTTATTGAGTTTTCACAGCAATGTTAATGTAATGACCATATGGGCTGGTCCCAAGTAAAATAAAGTTTTTGATAGTTCTACTTCACCCTCAATTTGGAGTCCTGTCTCTTATTGGGGGAATCTGCTACAAGGGATTGCTATGCTCTGCATATTCTCTTGCTATAATCACTCCTAAGCTGTTTTAAGAGCTCGTTCCTGCTTCGCTCTGAAGGACGAGAGGTTTGGCCTGCGATGGTTGTGGTGTCAGCTAGAGTGCTTGGAATCCTCAAGATGCGCTAGGAGCATCCATCAACAGAGGTACCCAGTCGGGGTGCCAGGTGATCCGTTACAGTGACATATTCAAAAATCACCCAGATCGGACCAGGGGTTCGGGAAATTCCTGGAGGTAGTAAAAAGACCGACCGCGCTGGAGGTAACAGCCGAAATGGGTTCCATATGTTTTGGCCCTGCAGTTGGTCACAGAAAAAGGGAATAAAATGCACGAACGGCTTGGGTTATGGGGACTGGGGAGAATTCGGATAAACCCCCTTGTTCGCGGGGTAGTTTCTACACGAATTGAGGGCAGTGTGCAGGTCTCAGCGGTGTTTGCCTAACCGAGTGTCCGATTTGGGTTCCAGACACTCAACAGCAAAACACCGGGAGTTTAAGATGGCCACCGCCACGTGTTCATCTCCCGAATGGCGGCCACCCAGAGGACAAAGCACGCACTGTACTGATTGCCAATTACCCATTTGCAACATTGTTGCGAACGGTAATTGGAGGCACACTTATTCCTGGGTTGGTCTAATTGTTCGGTATTTTCACTCGCATAGTAACTGGAGTGATTTTACCGAACAATCAGACGAATGCTGCATACATACATACGGCAAAATTTAACCGAAAGCATATGAACACACATGATTTTGAGGACAGCCCAATGCCATCCGCTACAAACATCTCATCCTCGGAGGAGGTAAGGCTGAGGTCTGGCTGCACCGCCATCTTGGGTTTAGGCCGCGATTGCAACAGGTCTCCGATGTTGCAGGAGCCTTCTCCTGCGAGAGCCTTAAGCTTCTTGGCTCTTTTCCCTGTAGTGGCTCGGGTGTCGGGAGCTGTTTGTGGGGAAAATAGCGTCCGGATGAGGGTTATCTGCCGTGTTGCTCAGCAAATCTGTCGGAGCCCAGCCGACATGCGTCTGCTCTCTGTGAGTACCGAGCCCCGCCCCCTATTCATGGTGTTTATTTCAAACCCTTCTTATCCCTATTACTAAAGGTTAATTTACTTTTTAAATATTGCAAACCAAAATAGATCAGTATACAAAATCATGATAAAAAAGCCTAGAATTAGCATACATTCACATAACAAATGCACAAATGCACGATAGTAATGAGGACATTGGCCTAAATAATTTGGTGGATTGTATAAATGTTAAGTATGGTGCATGGTTTTCCTCATCCTGTTTCCAGGTGCCCAGTCCTTGAATTTCTTTGATTACACCTACTAGTCCAGCTTAAGTGAACTCTAGAGAAAAACTTAGGGCTTACTATTTGAAGTCCGATGCAACTAGCCAGGGCGTTACTCGTCACTGCAAGCCATGAATTTTAACGCGCATGGGATACATTTTCAGCCCTGACAAAATGATAACGGCATTAGCTATATCTTGCAACACATTGTTCATTGCACTAATAGGTATTTGGAACGACAAGCTTTCAGTAGGAGAAATTCATGAAATCAAGTATTTTCAAAATTCTACTAGTCCAACGAAATGAAAATAAAATACTGCCATACTCTAGTATTGGGTCTCCGTAACCTAATGCAGAAATAATTTTAAAAAGTACTATAGCTATATGTGAGTACTTGGTAAATGTTAGCATCACAGTCCACCTTTCCCTTTAAGTCTTTCCCCTTTGTTGTGATCACTTCTGAGTTCAATTATCTTGAACGTGCCAGGCTATGCAGAGTTTCTAATTTTTCCATGCCTTTACCAGGCAGTTCACAGCAGTCCTTAGTCTTATACCACCAAATGCACTAATTTGCTACTTCCATAAGGGCATCAAATCTCAATAAACACCTTTTATATCATATAGCGTGGAGTAATGGATTCATGAGAGTCCATCATTGAATTCCCATCTCATTAACCACACTTCATTTCTTTTGTGCATCCTAGATTGGAAATTAGGCTACCTATGTCCGTGCTCCTGTGTAGTAAAATGCAGAATATATCCAATGTTATTTCATGGAATCTTTCTCAAAGTTTGAGAACATATATACCTGGCGATTCCTTTCTTGTAGATGGTTGTGATCTTTCTTGTCCGGGTAATCCTTTGATCCATCACTTAGCATCCCTGGATGTTTATCTAATCTAAACCTCTGGGTGATTCCACCATAGCTATAAATAATATATTAATTGCATAGACTTTATAACATTGATTAAAATGGATAACTGTACAGGTATGGTGCTAATGTGCCATCTCGCTCTATGTTCCATTGTGTACATGGGGCAAGAAAACAGGTTTAACGCAAAAAAATAAAGCTAGTAATAGAGACTAATGGGAGTAAAATGTTAATGTCGTAATGCCAGGTCCACTTGAATTGCTTTCATAAAACCTGTGAACCCCTATCTTAAACATAACCAGAGCTTATGAACTATATACTAATTACTTATTGTGGTGGACCTCTCCTAGACAGCCGGAGTATCGCTTTCCCCTCTGTGAAAGCCCCAGAGTGATTATAGTTCTCCCCCTAATCATCAGCCGAGCCTTGATGCAGGGTACAACATGAACACTTTTTTGATAAACAGTCACATTTTTATACAGAGGTCCCCAACGGGGATCCTCAAAAGAACAAAGCATTATGCAATGCATTTTGCAAACCTGACGCCTGGGTGTTGGGTTGATTGGAGGAGGTAACCTAACAATCAGACACCTGGGCGCCTAACAATAATGTCCCTAAAAACAGTACTTTCCCCTTCCCTCATCCCCAAACAGCTTTCACGCCCTGAAAGCTCTACCTTAGGAGGGTCATCATCCAAAAAGTGACTGGATCAGAGGTGTTTAGCCCAAGTAATTTAAAGAAGTTTGACTGGGTTTGCGAGCATCATTGTTTGCAAAAAAAAAGAGTAAAATGCATACAGTAAAAAAGTAGGAATACTTCCTGCAGGGTGCTCCAGAAAGGGAGAAGGCATCAAATGGAAAAAAGAAATATCCAGGCACATGTGAGGTTTCATCTAAAAGGCAGTCTTTATTTAAAACAAGAAAGTGGAGACAACATTTCGACTCCTCTTTGAGCCTTTATCAAGACTTTTTGTGAGGCCTATACATGAAGCTCCCTCAAGTGCAGGGTTTCTTTGTCTGGCCACCTCCCCGATCACCCTTCCAATTAGTGGCCTGTTTGGTGGTACTGGGGTGGAGAGTTACGCGGATGAAGTTTGAGCGGTGATCCCACATTCTGATCTACAGTTCCAGGAGATTCTTGGGTAGCTCCCGGTTGGGTGCGTTGTGCTAGTGAGAGCCTCCCGATTGTCCCAGAAACTCTCTAGGTAGTTGGTTAGGCTTCTTAGCCTGGAGGCACAGTAGGGAGGGCTTTCTGTCCAGTGAGTATAGTTCCTTTTAGGGGAAAGTGGTGGCTGTCACACTTTCTATTATCTCCCCTTTGGTACTCTCGTTCTAAATACTTTATGCTACTTGGGCACCATATGAGGGTTGGCCAAAAGATAACCATCCCAGCTGTTGCCGAACTATATATCCCATGATGCTTTTCCAGCCAGTGAACTGTAGTTCAGTCCTCTTAAGAGTCATGGATTTTGGCAGGAAAGTCCCAATTTTAGTGTTCTGACATGCCATCCTGTCTTTGTTCCCCTCAAAAAAGTAGCACTAGTGCATCATTCACAGTGCTTGCACAACAATCAGGGTACTGGGATTTTGCAGAGAGAACTGGAACAATACCGTCTGCTTAGTGGGCCGACCTGATAGATTGGCAGTCATCCTGGTATGCATGCACTGGAAGGGCACAAATGTGCCCAAGGCCCATTGCACATAGATGGGGCCTCCTAGCTCATTTTGTATCGACATTCTATGCCCTATTACCCATAGGATTGATTCCCTGGGCCCTGTTACCACTAGGATTGGTTTCCTGTGCTCCATGAGTCATAAGATGAACTATGATAAATTTTCTATGTCTGAAATTTTCACTTTACGAATGCATGCAAAAATGGTTTTATATGGCTCCAAAGTCTAGTTGCAAATCGAGGTCAGGCCTGAGACCTGAAACAAAAATTATATATTTAGGCCCAATGTAATTTTAGGTCCAGATCCACGAAGCACCTAATTTAGCACTTACCCATCCCAATTACTCTGCAGTGTTATTTTATTTTCCTTCTTGCAAAATATATTAAAAAAGGATAAAGTCACTAATTTCATCTGATTTGCACTTCCGTGTTTTATTTTTAGCTGCTGTTTAATATTTTGTAGTGACAAATTATGTGATCCATCGCCAGTAGGAGCCGTGTGAGTGGTGAGTGGCAGTCAGTACCCTTCCTTCGGGGTGCCAGGACCCTAGGCCATGTGAATCCTTCAGCTGGTGTGGAGGACAGACAGAATATGCTTTGTGCTGCTCTGGTGTGATGTGATGTGAAGTGGCCATGCCAGGGCCAGAGAGCGCCACTGGCAGGCAACATCTGCTCAGCTGCCCCCATCCTGCTGGGCAGCAGCAGGGTCAGGGATGAGAGAAGAGGGGCTGTGCCCGGGGGTTCAGGAGCTGCAGTGATGCGAAGGCACACAGTAGGGGGTGGGATGCATCTGAGCAGAAACTGTCTTGTCTTTCACGACAATAATCAGAATCTCTTGCTGACATTCATCAAGGGCACTGTAAGCGGCATGAGGCACAGTGAATATTGTGCACACAGGTAGAGGGGTCAGTCGTTGTGGCGTGCAGAAGAAAACAGGCAGAAGTGGTATATTTGGTGATTACTGTCAAATAAACCAATTTGGTAAATAGATTGGAGGGACATCCTTGGGGATATTCGTGTTTGCTGACAGATATCATTTGTGATATTCACTGGTCATATAGATGGCTGCATTGATTAGTAGACAGAATGAAATACTCAGTGAAGTTCACTGGTCAGCGTGTCCTTGGGGGGATATTCAGTGGTCAGCGTGTCCTCTGTGGAATATTGGTCAGCTGGGGGAACATTCAGTGGTCAGCATGCCTCCTAGGAGATATTCAGTGGTCAGCATGTCTCCTAGGGTATATTCAGTGGACCGCGTGTCCTCTGGGGGAGCATTCAGTGATCAGCATGTCCTCTGGGGTACAGCATGTCTTTTGGGTGAATATTCAGTGGTCAGTGTGTCCTCGGGGTGATATTCAGTGGTCAGCGTGTCCTCTGCGGGAACATTCAGTGATCAGCATGTCCTCTGGGGTACAGCATGTCTTTTGGGGGAATATTCAGTGGTCAGCGTGTCCTCTGGAGAAAATTCAGTGGTCAGCATGTCTCCTAGAAGATATTCAGTGGTCAGCATGTCTCCTAGAAGATATTCAGTGGTCAGAGTGTCGTCTGGGGTAATCAGATAGCCACGTGGTTCCACACAGCTCCCTATGGCCAATTGGATTCCTACACACATACTCAGCCACGTGCAACCAGTTATTAGTCCTACACATCATCTAACGCCCATTCAGAACCTACACACCGCACATTATACCCCAGCATTTCTGCTCGATGGCGTATAACGCTTCCATAATGTAAACGAATGCCTCATCCCACGTTTCAGTATTATTATATCTCAAGCACACTGTGCATCCTCAGCTGTATCTGATGGCTGTATGTGCGCTGCTGCAGCACTGAGGTTCCCATAGGGAGATGGCAGGGGTCTGAAAACTCCCTATTCCTTTATGTTTACTCCAAGTTGACAGTGCCGCCCAGTAAATTCCATGTATGACAGCTCAACAGCTCCCTCTGCTGGATTCTCTCCCAGGAGATGGCTGAAGACATGCAAACTCCATGGTGTAGTTTCAACCAACTCTGGAGGTAATTAGAGACTGAATGTACTTTACATGCAGTATGGCTGAACATGGCTCCCCGTGTAATCTAACTACATTCTGCTCCCCATGTAATACAGCTACACTCTGCTCCCCGTGTAATCTAACTACACTCTGCTCCCAGTGTAATACAGCTACACTCTGCTCCCTGTGTAATCTAACTACACTCTGCTCCCCATGTAATACAGCTACACTCTGCTCCCAGTGTAATACAGCTACACTCTGCTCCCCATGTAATACAGCTACACTCTGCTCCCCGTGTAATCTAACTACACTCTGCTCCCCATGTAATACAGCTACACTCTGCTCCCTGTGTAATCTAACTACACTCTGCTCCCCATGTAATACAGCTACACTCTGCTCCCAGTGTAATACAGCTACACTCTGCTCCCCATGTAATACAGCTACACTCTGCTCCCAGTTTAAATACAGCTACACTCTACTCTGCTCCCAGTGTAATACAGCTACACTCTGCTCCCAGTGTAATACAGCTACACTCTGCTCCCAGTGTAATACAGCTACACTCTACTCCCCATGTAATACAGCTACACTCTGCTCCCAGTGTAATCTAACTACACTCTGCTCCCAGTGTAATACAGCTACACTCTGCTCCCAGTGTAATACAGCTACACTCTGCTCCCAGTGTAATACAGCTACACTCTGCTCCCCATGTAATACAGCTACACTCTGCTCCCAGTGTAATCTAACTACACTCTGCTCCCAGTGTAATACAGCTACACTCTGCTCCCAGTGTAATCTAACTACACTCTGTTCCCAGTGTAATACATGTACACTCTGCTCCCCATGTAATACAGCTACACTCTGCTCCCAGTGTAATCTAACTACACTCTGCTCCCCATGTAATACAGCTACACTCTGCTCCCCATGTAATACAGCTACACTCTGCTCCCAGTGTAATACAGCTACACTCTGCTCCCCATGTAATACAGCTACACTCTGCTCCCAGTTTAATACAACTATACTCTGCTCCCCGTGTAATCTAACTACACTCTACTCCCCATGTAATACAGCTACACTCTGCTCCCAGTGTAATCTAACTACACTCTGCTCCCAGTGTAATACAGCTACACTCTGCTCCCAGTGTAATACAGCTACACTCTGCTCCCAGTGTAATACAGCTACACTCTGCTCCCCATGTAATACAGCTACACTCTGCTCCCAGTGTAATCTAACTACACTCTGCTCCCAGTGTAATACAGCTACACTCTGCTCCCAGTGTAATCTAACTACACTCTGTTCCCAGTGTAATACATGTACACTCTGCTCCCCATGTAATACAGCTACACTCTGCTCCCAGTGTAATCTAACTACACTCTGCTCCCCATGTAATACAGCTACACTCTGCTCCCCATGTAATACAGCTACACTCTGCTCCCAGTGTAATACAGCTACACTCTGCTCCCCATGTAATACAGCTACACTCTGCTCCCCATGTAATACAGCTACACTCTGCTCCCAGTGTAATACAGATACACTCTGCTCCCCATGTAATACAACTACACTCTGCTCCCCGTGTAATACAACTACACTCTGCTCCCTGTGTAATACAACTACACTCTGCTCCCTGTGTAATACAACTACACTCTGCTCCCTGTGTAATACAACTACACTCTGCTCCCTGTGTAATACAACCACACTCTGCTCCCTGTGTAATACAACTACACTCTGCTCCCCGTGTAATACAGCTACACTCTGCTCCCAGTGTAATACAGCTACACTCTGCTCCCTGTGTGATACAGCTACACTCTGCTCCCTGTGTGATACAGCTACACTCTGCTCCCAGTGTGTGACAAAATACATTTTGTCACTAGCTGTTTATGTGTCCCACTGCCCTTTGCCCCTGGGATTTGGAGGAGCCTGATTGCCAGCCTCCTACCTTATGACTATGGCCCCTGGGAGATTGGGCACTTTAAACACAGTATTTGGGCATAATGGATTTTTTATAATGCTGTTTATGGCCCTTAATCACTTTGAAGCAGTGTTGCAACTTTAAATTGGCACTTCGGATACAGTCTAAGTGGCCGCCATTCGACAAACGAACACGTGGTGGCAGCCATTTTAACTCTTTCGAACGTGGTCAGCGGTGTGTGCAGCCAAATCTGTGGAACTGTTTTCGGATACCCAATTACACACACTCGTACCTTCTCCTCCACTTCGACACTGCGGCAGGAAACTAATTCCCGTTCGAAGATTCGTCATTTTCTCAGTGTAAATTAGACCGACCGCACAGCCCAAATCCAATACAGCTACACTCTGCTCCCATTGTAATACAACTACACTCTGCTCCTTTTTGGGGAGGGTACCTCTGCCCTTTAAATCCATCTTGCATTTTGTATTGAGGTTGCTCTTATTTTTGAATGACGCCATTGAAAGTTGAGGTTCTGCTGTTTTTTTAACATGGTAATTGCAGTCAGTCTCTCTTAATACCGTACAGCATTACTAGGTCTCTGGATGGGTGACTTGAGTCCCAGGTAGGTAGGTAAGACGCAGACCAGCACATCGCTGTATGTTGGTAGGTGCTGCGTCTTGCCTCCCTCAGCTCCTGTCATATGAACTGAGCATATGTGGGATGACAACATGGCACAGCCTGCGGGCATCCTGTGCGTTACAGAGTCTTTGATTGTATGAGCTTTGACAGCAAGAGCCAGGGGGCCCTCTGTAGCAACAGAGCCAACGGCATCCTCACTGTGTATGTTGCATTTACCCACTGCTTTCTGTTTGGAGAAGGTATTTGTATTAACTATCAATACATGTGTAAGTAAACACAGATGCTCATTAACCCTTTGTTTTTATTGTTATTTTTTGTTCTCTGGTTTAATATTTCTCTCTGATGGCTCAGACCGTGGGTTTAGATGGAAGATTGTTTTTGGGATACTTTTTATACTAATTGTGCAGAGCGCCTTTTCTCTCCGTACTGTATAGTGTCGTGTGTTAAAGTGCATCTGCCATGGAAGTAGGACATGGTGAACATTTGTAAGTAGTAACATTGTATCTCTGTTGTGCTGAGCAGATTATGGCAGATATATATATATATATTTTTTTAATTCTTTATTTTTGAGTGCATGGATAGA